GGCTCGACAGCTAAAATTCAACAGGGACTGCATTTGACTTCTCCTCTCTAGTACTTTCAGCATAAGTTTTTGGAAATTGAATATGAAAGAACACTGGGCAAACATCCACACGAAAGACATATTACGAGTACAGAAAAGTATATATGGTGATGCTGTCAAGCAGATGATTGGGTGTACAGAACTGTAAATTTCAATTCATCTCAACTTGAATTCCTAATAAAAGCTTATGCAAGAAAAAGTAGACCAAATTTAAGCTCTAATGCTTCATAATCCCAAAGAGAGTACACACAGTTACATATGCATGAAAGGCAATAAGCGAGCCAAAAACAAAATATTTGCTCTCAGATTTCTATGAAAGCCATAATGATAGGTCCACAGTGCTTTCAACGCAACCAAATATACAAAAAGGACAGAAAGATGAGGTAAGAAACGCGCATGAAGGAGGGGAAACCCAGATACCAAATTAGTTCCAGAAAGCCGCAGAGTGAAATGACCGTTCATCAAAGGAGGAGACTGAAAAACAGCAAGAAAGATCGACCAGCTTCATTCTCAGTAGTTGCCAAACAATATTTAAACACAGGAAAGAGGACGAAAACAAAATATGATGAATGATTATACACAAATATCCTTAGCAGATCAGTAACCATAACAGAGAAAAAGAAAAGAATAATGAAAATAAATACATAAAAGGCAGCACAGAACAGACAACCGACAATAAGACGATACAATAGGCATTGATTAGATATACAAATATTCAAAGGGAAAAAACACCTCCATTACCCACCTATGCGAAAGCAACTAATTCGCAGCTCGAAAGAGACGCACCAACCATCAAATTAGACATATTGGTTTTCAGGAACGCTGCTTGGTCACTCAGAAGTTGAAAACTTGAACGCTTCAAATGAAATCTGTAGACATGGGAAAATGCTCAAGCTTTCGAAGATCTGCAGAACAACAGCAAGCTAAATAAACTTGGCTCGAAGCCATTCTTAATTTCATACGGTAATGTAACTGTAATGATATGAGTATGACGTGAGAGGGGGAAAGAGAATTTCAGCTCAGCGTATTTAATCGTCACAGGCTTTGAAGGCAGATTGCAGTGAATGGTGTCGGCTGCTACGCAGCACTGGTGTAGTCGTGGCGCGTTATTTTGGATAGTCGTGAAGAATCGCAGGTGAATCGGGCCTCGCATAATGAAATGAAGGACCCCCACCACCAATCATCAGCTCCCCCGGACAATCAACGCCGGAAGATCAGAGGCGTCCAAACTCCAAACACAATTAATTTCTCGCTCTCTCAAGAGCGTGCTTTGCAGGTTGAAACTGCAAGCAAGCGAGTATAATGTGATCTCTGACTAGTCATCGTTTTTGTAAGAAATCGGACGAGGGATCCTCTATCTATCAATTCATTGATTTTAATTAGTGAGATGGACACCTAGGCCTGTACGTACATAATAAATAAATAATACAGACTCGGAAGAAAATCCGATTATTTTTTGGTTTGGGTTTATTTATTATGTGGAGGCCATTTCTCATTTTTCTCTCCTTTAATTCTTTAAATAAATAAAAACGATAACGATAGGATACGATTCGATACGATACGAATATACGATGTGAGACGTGGCCCTTGCCTTGGAGCTGTGATCATGGCTCTGGAGTCTGGACCACCACATTATTTCAGTTGGAGCTATCAAACATGGGTTGCCACTGCAACATATCAAGCTTCTCATTTTGTGGGGCCAGGGTGTGGAGCGTGCATTGAGTAATGGGTATTGGGTAGGGTAGGTCCTCGAGGACTTCTCACGATGCATGTTTTTCGTCATCCTCCACGCCCAAGCCCAGGCCCAGGCCCAAATGACTCATGTCTCACCCTATAATATTCTTCATCCACGAATCTCTTTCGTTTGATATCTATGGACTATGGTTGCCCACAAATTTAATTTCCCTATGGGACATCTTAAGACCAAGTTTGTAAGCGATTAAAAATAAATGGTTATTTAAAAAATTAATTATTTTGGGCCGAGATCACGCCAGTAGTATTTTGAAAAAATTCCACTTTAGTATCCGGGGTAGTGTTAAGTTAGTATCAAAACTTTTAAACGTGTCACTGCATTTTCAAAAAAGTGTCAAGTTGGTCATTTCCGTTAATCGATCGTCAGTTATTTGTTGAAAATGTCAAAAATACCCTCCAAAAAAAGACAATGTTCATTATCTTTTACCTTGAGATTGAACCAACCGGTTAAGGTGTTTGAGATTCTAGACTAATGAAGTCCTTGTCTTCTACCTTTAGATCTGAAATACATTCTTGTCTAGTTATTTCTTTACTTTCATTTATTGTTTCTCTTTATCATATTTCATGTTTTTTCTCTCTTTTTCTTTGAAAATAACCAATTCAGTCTCAAGATAGAAGACAATAAACAGTATCTTCTTTTAAATGGTAGTTTTGACATTTTCAATAGATAACTGACGGTTGATTAACGACAAAAACCAATCAAACACTTTTTGAAAGTTTAACTACTACAATAACACGTTTAAAAGTTCAGATACTAACTTAACACTACCTCCAAAGTTGAGGGTTAAAATGAAATTTTTCTTAGTATTTTTTATCAGTTGGGGAATAAACTAAAAAGCTTAAAAGTTGGGAATTGTTTTTTGTCTATCTTGGCCAGCAACATCTCATTTGAAAACACCTATACTAAATCAGTTCTTTTATACCAAATGTTAATAAATACTTTTTAAAATAAACACTGTTACACTTGGCCTAATTCCTTTCACTTAAAAATTAATTAAGTGTTAGGAAGAAAATTACATCACAAATTCAAAAGATAAATAGCCCACATATATAGATTTTTCTTTACTATCTCCCTTACACCCTTGAAAAAATATCAATCGCTTTTGCCAATTATTAGTTAAATAAAAGAAAACGGATAAAATATTTGTATGATGGGGTGTCAGTTGGGCAGTGTGTAAATATTTTCAAGTTTTTTTCTGAATGAAAAAAAAAAAAGATATATAGTGGCATTAACGTATTTCAGTCATCGCCAGCTTCTGCGATTCCATGCAATCCAGCCGTGAGCGTAGTCACCTGCAAACGTGTGCTTAGGTCAGTGCTCTGCTCCACAAAAACAACCAAAATAAACCCTGGAACCCACAAACAATGTAGATATGGACCATATGTAGCCTTGACTAGACCGAGTGAACATAAAGTACAGAGGAGGATAAGGAAGGACGAGACCGGATCTGCTCCTCACACCTGACGCCTTACAAGCGTTTCACACGTATATCTTACCATTGAGAATATTTTCCGTATTTATCAATTATCATTCATGAGAGATGCTCTCAATGCACGATGGATGTGCATGTGAGGCGCCTATTTATGAGGAGTAGATCCCCTCTCGAGCTAAGTGCATGGGAATATGGGCAGGGTAGGGTACCTTGCAGACTGCAGCTATATATCGTACGTTATATCAGAGACACTTTAGTCTTAGTACTCGTCTCAGTGTCTGTCTACTTTGCTTGTTAACGAAAGTACATGGAGTTCATAATTCCAAATTATTTTTGGATGAATCTCCAATATTCATCGTTATACCCAAATTGAAATACCTCTTTATTCAATTTTACGATTCTCTCACTCTTGGATTCAACAATAGGAGGATGCGTCCCTGCTCAACGCTCACATTGTTGCTGTGCAGTGTTTGATGAATCTGCTTTGCTGTTGGAATTAAGGCTGTGTTTGGAATCCGTATAAATCAATAATGATGTAAAAGTATATATTGGTTCGATTTTGTTGGTATTTGGAAAAAGTGTAAGTGAAGATTGATATAATACTTTATTCCAGTTTAGATTTGTTGGCATTTGGATAGAGTAGAATTTTATATTGTGAATTAATGTAAAATCTTATCAAGCATAAAGTTTTACATCGAGAATCGATGTAAATAAACATCTATGTAGAACTTTACACTTTTTAATCACGGTTTTCAAAATATAACGGTCACCTATATACGGTTCAGTGTAAAACGTCATCAATGTACTTTTACACCTATATACGGTTCAATTTAAAATCAATGTAAAACACAAAAACTTTATGCTCGACGAGGTTTTACATCGATCTCCATTCCATCTAAACGCCAACAAATCTAAACCAAAGTGGAGTTTTACATCGATCTTCATTTACACTCATTCCAAACGCTAACAAAAGCGAACTGATGTAAACTTTTACATCGTTCTTGATTTACACCGATTCCAAATGCAGCCTAAGGAACCTCCGAATGCCAAAGCTGACGGGAATTTTTAACAGCTGCGGCCCTCCAGCAATAAAGCTTAATAAACCTTCAATAACTTTTAATACAAGTTCTTGTACAGGGGCAAGTTAGGTTGAGTTGACATGAGTCGAGCTGAGCTGAATATTTGGGTATTCGAGCTCAGCTCGATATAATATTACAAGGCTTGAGCTCAATTCGAACTGGAAATATAAGCTCGAATTCGGCTCAAATGAATAATCTATATATACAAGCTCGATTCGGCTCGAGAACCAAGCCTATTTGAGCTCGAGTTTGAGCTCGAACTTGAGCTTTAGTGAATGTTAGACTAGGTGCCATTAAACCAGTATCAGACTCCTTAATACCTATAGTTCAAATAAAAGCAAACCCTATTTAGGCACAAAATAAGACCAGCATAGGTGTCTAGTGTCCAACTCTTAGGCCATGTTTGGTTTAAAGGAAAAGGTAGAGAAAGGAAGGGAAATGTAGGAAAAATTATACAAGGTTTGTAAAGGTTTCCCTACCTTTCCTTTCCTTTCCCTACTTTTTTCCTTCAAACCAAACACAACCTTAAGGAATGGATGAAGAAAGGCAGTAACAATGATGATGTCAAGGAAGAGTAATCCAAAAGATGTACTGAAAAATGTTAAGAATTTAGTATTGAGAAATTTAACAAAATAATAGACTTGGCCATAAGAATGGAAGTGCAGAGACCAAAGATCATCCCAAAGTATTCATGAAGTACTAGATATAATGCAGATAAGCATATGCCAGATATATGTAATTTAAAATCCAATAACTAATATCTACACCATCCAATGAATGAACCATGGTATCCTGTTTGTAAAGGAAATATCCTTTTTATGTCAGGTATAAGAGTTTCATATATTGATTGGCAGATCACATTCCAAGCAAAATATTTTTTGGGATTTGACCCCATGAAAGACCAAGAGTGTTGATTCAACAATTGGAAGATATCAATTGATAAGTAGGAAAGAAATAATATACAGATGCACTATGTGGTACAAATAGATGAAAATGTTAAGACCAAAAAAAGGAATAAAAAGTTCTATATTCATTCCACAGATTTATATCAATCAACAAAAGACATATGACACTTGCATCGGAGATTTTTTATCCCGATTATGTATAAATTTCTTAACTAAAAACAATGTTATTTTACAAACAGGAGTTTTGTTTGTATCAACATTAATAAATATTGATCCATGGATACAACTTCTAAGTGGACAGATGATGCTTGAAGCAACATCTTTTTTATAAGAAAACTGATGGATTTTTGACATACAAAAATCCAAGACAAGGGGTGAACAGGGAACCCTGATTTCAGAATTGAATTCAAGTTTCATATAGACATGCAGATCAGCAAACATGATGGCTGATGCCATGGCAAGACAAGGGATTTCTGTATGGGGATGTAAAGGTGTTTTTGTACATTACCTATTACCTATGTTCAGTTTCTAGTTGTACAGGGGTATCTTGTTTTTGTTTTATATTAACAAAATGAAATACTATACTTTGCCTTTTCGTAAATTACATGTGTAGATCAAGCCAGGCTGATATATGTTCAGTCCATCCAATTCCTCCCAAGAAATATGAAAGATATTTTAATCCAGATACTCAAAATAGTTTATTAATTACATTTTGTAGATTATCAATGAGATGCATTAAGCCCGACACTGAACATGCAACAAACTCTCTAAATCATAACAGGCATAAGAAGCATACCACATAAATCATTTACTTTCTTGGCCATTTCCTTCTCCACTTTCTTTATGCTAGTAGAGTAAGGCCCCAGACCTTGCAATCAGAACATTGAAATGGATATAGGAATGCACTACAAGGCCTCTAAACATGTATCATGGAATGGAGGAATGTAGGAAAAACTGAAATGTTGAATTGTACAACTATTACTACAGGTGTACAGCTATTACTTGAGTCATCAGAAGCTTCAGTTCCATGCTTATACTTTTTCTTTGACTCCTGAATCCTGATACATCCATAAACAGAAGAAACCCTACAGATCACCAATTCAACAGAAAAAATGATGAATTGATATTTCTAAATCTCCATGCTGCTGCTAATTGATGGA